TGTTTTATTAGACAAAAATAAGACTAAAAAAACTAATTTGACAAAACTACCCCTGCATCTTACAATTGCAGGGCCTGCGCAAGTTCGCAAGGTTTGTGCGCAGGTGTGCGTTGATTCCAAGCCTCCACAATTCAGAGTCGACGCCTCCACCAATGGCGCCTCCGCCACCCACCATCAAGTCTGTCACCACCGCCACGCCGCCCCTCTGCGACTACGCTGCAGGCACTCGCCTGCTCTTCTTCGGCGATACCCAGGTACTTTTCTCCATCTCTTCTCCTCTCATCTCTTCTTCTTATTCTTCTTCTTTTCTTTTTTTGTCTTCTCTTTCCCATCCTCTTCAAATCTGGGTCCTCTGTTTTCTTCTTCCTTCAGGTTTCAATTTTTTTGTTGTTGATTAATTTTGATTAATTTGGAACCTCAAAATGTCATAAATTACAAGCAATTAGAAAATGTCACTTTTCTCAACATTTTTGTTTCGAAAATGTCATGAGAATGACATTATTACTCTTCTGCAAATGGCATGAAATGTCATTTTCTTTTATGAACTGTCACCTTGACAAATAAAATGTCATAAAAGTGACATTATTACAAGTCAGTTTTTCTACCCTCCAATGAGTCTGTGCAGACCTCCATGGGGAATGTCACTTGATATGCGAAAATGCCACAATAATGACAATTTTGTATAGACAAATGACATTCTCAATATGACATTTTCAAATATTGTAATGACATATAAGTGACATTTTGTAAAAATACCCAATAATTTTGACATTCCTTATTCAAAAAGTGACATTTTCTGAAATCATTAGTCAAGGCATTTTGAGATTCAAAATTGATAATAAGAAATTCAAGTTAGATTTATCTTCATTTGAAACTTTCAAAAATCAAAATTTAAATAAAAATTGAAATCTAAAGAGGAAGAGAAAAGAGGAGCCAACATCGAAGAGGATGGGAAGGAGAAGACCATAAAAAGAAAAGAGGAGGAGAAAGAGGAGGAGGAGGAGGGCAGGGGAGGAAGAAGAGTACGTACCTGGATGAGCAGATGACTGCGATTGATTGCAGATAAGCTGCGATCGAAGGTGAAGAAGCTATGGCCGGTCAATGGGAAAGTCGCAGGGGAGAGGAAGAAGGTTGCGATCCAGGTTGGGGGATTTTCTAGGCGGTTGGATGAGTGATGGAGTTCCGCTGCATCTGGAGTCGGCTTCGATCTTCAGGGGTTTAATTAGAAGGGTAAAATTGTAATCTTTAGTCCTATATAGTGAATAAAAAACTTAATGTCCTATTTAGGAATTTAGTCCATGTTTTAGTCCCATTTTGGTCAATTTCTTTTTTAAATAATGCTACGTAATAAATAAAAAACAATCAAAAAACCTAAAATGGACAATTACTTAATTAAAATCTAAAATTGTAAAATAAAATATCAGTGACACAATAACTAAATGAATAACTCAATTACAATTATAAATTACGGTGTATTAATGTATAAACTAATGATAATAACATTATCAGAAATTAAAATTCAATCAATTATGGTTAAGTTATTGTTAAAAGTGCATATGAGTTAACTCCCGAACCTAAAAACCAAAATCCCAAATTCGCCGGCCAATTTCACAAGTGAAGAAGGTGGCCAAAGTCTGAAGCTATTATCTATGCAAAGCGTAATACAAATTAAGTAAGTAAAACTAATGCTTGGGTTGCTGAAACTCTGACAAGAAGAATAGGGCCAGAAAGGAAGTAATAAAACAGAGAAAAAGAGTTAAATTGGAATTGCAAGGATTCCCAAATGAAATATGGGCAGCGTAGTTGGGAGTTTGGGGGCTTTCCGCGACGGCTAAGGGGATCAAATTAATGTTAATACTACTAATATAAAAATAAACTGAGGCCCTCCTAATTTGAGAGACCCTAGCAAATGCCTAGCCAAATTGGCCTCATGGCCAGCTCTGCATGTGGTGACTCACATTTCTTTTATCACTCCTTTTCCTTTTCTATTTAATTTTCTTTCTTTTTCCTTCTCTCTCCCTCTTTGTTATTCTTTCGGCACACCTCGCTTTCTTTCTTCTTCCACTTGTGATCCCTCCTTATATCAGTTTTTCTTTTTCTTTCTTTTTCTTTCTTCATTCCCCCTTTCTTCTTTCTTCTTCCACCCTACCCGGCCTTCCCCCCTTTTCTTCTTTGACCCCACTTTTTTTTTTTATTTCTTCTTCTTCAAAGTGAGGAACACTAGTGATAAGAGGAGAAACAGAACAACAATGGCGAGGAAGGCGACTTGGGCGACAAAGCTCCTCACCTTAGCTTCATCATCTTTCGCGTCATTGTAGTTATGTGCCTACGTGTTCAACATAACTCGTTGATGACGACGACACAAATGAGCTCATGAAATCGCCTAACAACATCTTCTTCCTGCATTTGAAATCGATAGCGGCGACGAGCTCATGAAGCAATCAAGGGCAGCTGTATTTTTCTTCTTTCGTGTGCTTTTAGTTGGTAAAGGAGAAAGAATAAGAAAGAGGAAAATATGGGGGTGGAAGTAGAAAGAAGAAGGGAGAGAATTGAAGGACATGGATGAAGAAGAAAGAAGAATAAGGAGAAAAGGGGGAAAAATGGAAAACCAGAAAATAAGTATGACTTAATAGTTATTTCCCAATAATGATAAGACCAAAAGTGGAATAAATAAATAAATAAATTAGAGTTTGACTTTTTAGTTATCATTAATGTACATGGATTCCCGTAAGAGCGATCATGATTGATGTAATTTGTCTCCCCAATTTCTCATGCATGATTATTCATTTTTATCCTAATCTATAAGTATATAGGTACTTTTTACACAATGAGAAAAGGTTTATCTGTTCAATAAATCTACTTTAAAACCCCATGTAATTTGATGTTTTATCTTTTCTCGTAATAACAATTAGTTTTCGATGACTCAAATTAACTAGGCATGGCAATGGGTCGGGGCGGGGCGGGTACTGCAAGACCCAAACCCGCCCCGTGACTTCACTGGGTGGACCCGCCCCACCCCGTGACCCGCACGGGTCCAAACTTGTTGACCCATGACCTGTCCCATGCGAAGCGGGTCCGTCCCGGCCCGCCGTAACCTAATTAGCTGATGTGTATTTTTATTTGTGGGAAGTTGTTACCAATTGAATGTACATAAAATTTTTTCTCTAATATATTAATTCAAATTCACGATACACTAAATATGTCAAAATTTAAGAAAAAAATACTTAGACTTGAATAGTTAATCTATTTAATAAAATTGATAATTGAATATATATATATATATATATATATATATAATTAGTGGGAGAGTTTTTCTCCTCTAAACACAACATGCGGCCACAATTTGTGGGATAGTTTCCTATCTTCACCGTTACCTTATTAAAATCAATGGCCAAGATTAGTTTGCATTTTGTAAATTAGGATTAGTTTGTATGTGATCCTATATATATATATATATATATATATATATATATATATATATATATATATATATATATATATATATATTAAAATGCTATATATAAAGTAGACATTGATAACTTGTCGTTCATTATCTCATTCAAATATAAATATTAATATATTATAAGATCAAAGAATTTATGATTTATTATATACACACATATGTATGTATGTTGAAGTATATTTGGAGTCTAATTTGAGAAAAAGTATGTACACTTATATATTGAACGGGGGGGGGGGGGGGGGGTAGGGGCAGCACGAGTCAATACTAATATCCAAATCCGCCCCATTGTATTGGCGGGGCGGGGTGGACCCACCCCAAATTGTCTCGGGGCAATGCGGGTAATTGCGGGCCGATTTTTTTTTGACATGCCTAAAATTAATACTATTTGATAAAAATTTAAATTCAAACCGTGAAAACTTATTTCGACCAAATTTAAATATATGAGTCCAATTAAAAACATCTTTAATTCTTAATTTACTAAATCAAAATGTGAACATGTCGTTCATTCGGAATCTGAATCTGTAGTTTGTACATATGTCTTCACAAGATCAAGTGACACATGATAATATTCCTAGAAGATCTGTTCAAGTAATTATTGTGTGATTGTTTGTGCATATAATGATGATATGAAAATGAGAGTAGTTTAATCGGATCACCATTAAAAATCAATGATAACGGTGGTGTCACGCTACCCTATATGAAAAGTATCAATGTAATTATTGTGTGATTGTTTGTGGACGTATGCTATTTGGGTTTTGGTTAGGAAGTTACTATGTATAAGTTTATTGATTGTGTATATATTGATGATATGAAAACGAGAATAGTTTAGTGGGAAACAACGTACCGAAATCCCAACGACGAAAATTTCCAACTCCATGGCATTGGAGTCATGTAAAATCATGCAGAACCCGATGGTAATGGCAAAAAAGAGAGACTATTACTGAGTTACATCGTGCTGACAACGTGTAGAAGGAAATGATATGTATTCAATGCACAGGTGCTCCCATTAAATAGGAAAGGTAAGACATTACAATACATGTGCCTCACGAGCCCATTATCATAATGTATTCATCATCTCTACAGATATTTTATCTATAATAATACCACACTACATTTTCTTTAACATAACGGAGTTATATGGTATCTTCATCTTTTCAATTTTTGATGCAAACGACACGATATTCTTAAGAGTAGACACGATATGATTGTGGCTCCTAATATCAAGGACAATCAATAGAAACTCATACGGAATATAAATGTAAAATGTTTGCCCACAGGCCACAGTAATTCACCCACTTTACCTTGCTTCTTACGGAGTATATTTTTCACCAAACAAGAATACAGTAATAAAGACTAACCACTAACAATCCATTTTCAAGGATGCTTGTTGTACCCACTCTTATACCCACCTTATACCCACCATGTTTGTGAAGGGTTTTTTTTGTCTGTGAACCCGATTCACAGACAATATTTTGTTTGTGCAAAATATTGTCTGTGAGCCCCAATTCACAGACAAAAAAAAAAACATTCACAAACATAGGTGGGTACAAATGTGGGTATAAGAATGGGTACAAAGATCATTTTTGATCCATTTTTACGTAAAAAGTAAACAAACTTTACCGGCACATACCAACGCTCAGGTGGGTAGCTTCGGCAATGCCCCTGTTGCCACTAACATGTTCTTTTTTCTTCCCAAGAGGGGGTTGCACGTTAGGTATTTACAAACTTTCCTGCTTTCCCTGAGTTCTCCCCCCTTTTAAGTATTGAACTATTGACCACTTTCCCTAATTCATACTCTCCCATGAGTCTCATCCCCCAATGCTCTCCTCTCCTTCACACAGTCACAATATGCTACCTTTCTGCAGTTCGATCTGGGCATTTGGTTTTTGAACCCTCGCACCTTTTGTTCCCTCCCAAGTATTCAAAGTTATATGAACTGTATGGACCATCGGAGGAAGGAGATCTGCATGTGATTCTCCCGGAATTCATAGAAATCTTGAGAAGCCGAACAGACCTGATATTTAAAGACTCAATCTTTATATCCCAATTTCATCATCACTTTCTTTAATTTGGTTCACTAATGTACCCTTTCCTGATGCCAATTGGATGGTTAAAAATAAAACACGCGGAATCAGAATGGCAGCAAGAAATGACCTGTTTTACCCCATTGTTGGATTCGGGTTGTTTCTTGCTTTTGTTGTATACTTGTCTTGTCACGCCCCGGACCTATCCGGACACGTCAACAACCCGCCGTACAATATGAATAGTCAACCGCAGTCCAACACATTCATATTATACAAGGCGTCTTGAATATCATTCACACATATACATCCATAAACAAACATAATAAGTAATTCATAACGCAGCGGAAAACATTATTTAAAACAAAAGAGCCACACAGGGCTATTCATGAGCACGCAGGCTCTATAGTAAAATATCCATGAGCAAATTTAATAATGTTTCAAATAGAACGGAGGAAGCACGAACCAAGTCTTCTCTCCGAGGAATCGCCCGATCAACGAGCACAGGATGCAAGCTCTAGCCTCAACCTGAAATGGTGGTGGGACGCCCCCGAAGGGGTCAGTACTCTATACGGCTATAAAGTACTGGTGTGGCAGGCATCTAATAGATATACAACAAGTATTTCAAACACAAGACCCTCAAATAGGGTGATAGTACATTATGATTGTAACCCTGAGTTACCCCGTTTAAAAATTATACTTACTTTATATAAAAGTCAAGTAGTCGGCCCGTGGGCCCATGTTCATTTGGAAATCACCATTCCCAACCCCGTGACTATAAGCCACGACAACTCCTAGAGTCCAACCCTAGTACATGACATTGTATTCTAGAGCTCGGCTCTACCACATCACCATACAATTCATATACCTCGGGTCAATTTCCTTACCTTGCGTTCTAGAGCTCGGCTCTATCACATCACCACGCAAGTCCTAGAGCTCGGCTCTAGCTATACAATACATAGACTCCAAGTCTACACCTTACATGCATTCTAGAGCTCGGCTCTATCACATCACCATGCATTAAGGTCCAATTCTCAAGCAACCCTATGCCTAGAATTGACATATCATCAAACTACCATGGGTCATTTTTAAAGACTTCCCATAACTTAGCCTTAGTTCCATACTAGGTTATTATATACACTTGAACTATATTCAAGTATCTTTCATACAATCCAATCCCTAGGATCAATTTAATTCACAAGTTCCAATAATCACTAACTAGTATTCCAATACTATTAAGATTATTGTTATCATACCATTGTCCTCATTATTTGTAGTTCTCTACATATTTATAATTATGTAGCAGCAACTTAAGCATTCAATTTCAATACACAAATATTCATTTATGTATCCACATAATTCATACATGAGTAAAATACCCATTTTCACAAAATGGTTCTTTTATACTCATTTAATCTCATATTATTCATACCTTCTCAAATCATTTCAAATTTCATTCTTTGGAAACTATATCAATATTTCATCAATATATAATCATCATAATCCATGATAAATCATGATTTAAGCATTTAGGTAATCTCATGCTTAACCTACAAGTTGTAAGCAATTAGATGTCAATCCTCACCTCAATTGAGCTTTAAACTTTCCCTTCTTGGTCCAATGGTCAAAGCTTCGGTCAAGGTGGATTTGGAACTGATTCCTTGCTCAAATATGAGTGTTAAACAGCCTCTTCAAGGTGCTAGCTCAACCCCTAAACGTTGGTACGAAAACAGCCCCTAGAATGGGTGTTTTCCGGCTAACTCGTTTCCTAGTTTTCCAAGATTTGTTCTAGGTTAGTATCTAACCTTTACATCAATAAAATAACTTAATAGGGACATATTATAAACTTGGAGTAGTGTATAATAGTTCCACCAATCGTTCATATCATTTGGAAAATGAATGGAAAGGTTTTGGGATTAACAACTCACTTAGAAGAGTAAATCCGTTCCTGTGAGGTCGCGTTCTGTTCGGACGATTTGGAAGCCTTCCTCTACTCCGATTGATGCAAACCAGACCTTCACGGATTCCTCGTCTTGAGAGCTTTCTTTTGGTATCTCACACGCCTTAATTGGATTGGTAAAACTCGAGATATCGACCAAACAGTTTCAGCACTCTCACAGCTCGAGTTCACAGACCTCTGCTCGTTCCAGATCGATTTTTGGATGATTTCTCTCTCCTATCGAACTGTGGACACTCAAATATGAAAATAGACTTCAAAAGCTATCCAAAGACACCTTATACACCCCATTTGGACGAGTACAACTCTCAAAATGAAGGGAGACAAAACAGCACACCTGTTTGTGCGAAAACAGTGGTGGTGGCCCCAAAATTTGATTCCAATTGTGTCATGGGCAGTGCTTCTCCATGCGGTGCGGCCAAGGTGAGTCTTCTCACATATTTTCCTTGTCTTGCAGGTACTAATATCATGTGGAGTGGTTCCCCATTGATCCCAATTAATTTGGGATCCAAAATATCTATCAATACACCCAAAAATGGAAGAATGGGTCCTATTGTTTTATCTTTTGTCAAAGATGTCTTTTTGTACTCATCCTAATTTATTTAGAACAAGTCAACTTCCTAAATCACATTATTGACCTCCAATATGTGTAGGCTCATCCCAATAATTTACTTGATGAATATTACGAAAGAATACGGGTTTGAACAATACAAATATTCAATCATGTGCTACGTAAAATATTAATCGTTTTTCCATTGTTTTCAAATCGGAAATTCAATACATCACTTTGAATTTAAGAATGAAATTTTCAAGGACGTTCGGGTGCGGTGTCACAAGTTCACCCCCCCCTTAACAGGAATTTCGTCCCCGAAATTCACAGCTCTACTCGAATAGGAAAGCATACTGCTTCCTCATCAAAGTCTCTGTTTCCCATGTCTCTTCCTCGACCCGATCGCTCTTCCACAGGACTTTAACCATTGGGACTTGTTTGCTCATCAGTTTCTTCACCTTTCTATCGGTGACCTTGATAGGTTGAACAGCGTAGTTCAAATCCTCACGTACCTCTACAGGTGGCTTCTCCAATACGTGAGAGGGATCATGCACATACTTCTTAAGCATGGATACATGAAACACATTATGTATCTTCTCTAACTCAGGAGTCAACTGTAGCCGATATGCAACGGCCCCAATCATCTCTATAATTCTGAATGGGCCTATGTACCGTGGGTTAAGCTTCCCTCGGGTTTGAAATCGAATGATTCCTTTCCAAGGAGAAACTTTCAAGAATACCTCGTCATCAACCTTAAACTCTAAGGTTCTTCGACGCTTATCTGCATAACTCTTTTGCCTATCCTGAGCCGCTTTGAGTCTCTCTCGAATCAATTTCACCTTCACCTTTGATTTGGTGACCTCAACCAACTCAGTACCCTCGAGTTTGGCCATGCCAACCTCGTCCCAGCATAACGGTGTACGACACCTCCTCCCATACAATGCCTCGTATGGAGGCATGCTGATGCTGGCCTGATAACTGTTGTTATAGGCAAACTCCACAAGTGCTAAGTGGTTGTCCCAACTTCCTTGGAACTCCAATGCACAAGCCCTCAGCATGTCTTCCAAGATCTGTATGACTCTTTCAGACTGTCCATCCGTCTGTGGATGGAAAGCAGTACTGAACTTCAACCTCGTCCCCATAGACTCCTGAAATTTCGGCCAAAAACGTGATGTGAATCGTGGGTCTCTATCGGATACAATGGTCACCGGGACTCCATGCAGCCTCACGATCTCATCCGTATACAATTTGGCTAACCTCTCAAGTGGGTAGGTAGTGTTGATAGGCAAGAAGTGTGCACTCTTTGTGAGCCTATCCACAACGACCCAAACCGCGTCATAGTTCCTGATAGTCCGTGGTAAGCCTACCACGAAATCCATAGTCACGTGCTCCCACTTCCATTCAGGGATGGAGAGTGGTTGCAATAAGCCTGCTGGGTGCTGATGTTCTGCCTTAACTTGTTGACAAGTAAGGCACCGACTGATGTACTCGGCTATTTCCCTCTTCATTCCAGACCACCAGTAACTTTCTTTCAAATCACGGTACATTTTCGTGCCCCCCGGGTGCATGGCATAAGCCGATGAATGAGCCTCCTCTAAGATGGACTTTCGGAGCTCATCATCTGACGGTACACACACTCGGTCACGAAATAACAAGAGACCATCATCTCTTTCCCTGAAATCCTCCACCGTTCCCCGGACCTTCATAAGTTCTTCGTCGGCTTCCTGACCCTTCTTGATCTCATCAAGTAGAGTAGGTCTCACCTCAAATCGTGCCAATAAGGCACCATCGCTGGTTACCTCCAGTTGGGCTCTTAATGCCCTCAAATTAGCTAGCAATGCCCCAGACGAGCTCTTCCGGCTCAAAGCATCTGCCACCACGTTTGCCTTGCCTGGGTGGTACTCTATCACTAGATGGTAGTCTTTTATCAGCTCCATCCACCGTCTCTGTCTCATGTTTAGCTCTTTCTGAGTAAACACGTACTTCAAGCTCTTGTGATCAGTGTATATGTGACATGTCTCCCCGTAGAGATAATGTCTCCATATCTTTAGTGCAAACACCACTGCCCCCAGCTCCAAATCATGAGTAGGATAATTCACCTCATGCTTCTTCAATTGTCGTGAAGCATAGGCAATTACCCTCCCATTCTGCATCAGTACACATCCAAGCCCTTGGATGCTCGCGTCGCTATAGACATCGTACCCCACACCTTGTTTGGGTAATGCAAGTACCGGTGCCTCAGTCAATCTCTTCTTTACTTCCATGAACCCTTTCTCACATTTGTCATCCCATACAAACTTAGCTCCTTTACGGGTGAGCTTCGTCAATGGCGATGCCAAAACAGAGAACTTCTCCACGAACTTTCTGTAGTAGCCTGCCAATCCAAGGAAACTACGAATTTCCTTGACGTTCTTTGGCCTCTCCCATTCAGTAATGGCTTCTATCTTCTTTTTATCAACAGCAATTCCCGATCCCGAAACCACGTGCCCGAGAAAGCCGATTTCCTTTAGCCAAAATTCACATTTAGAAAATTTGGCATAAAGTTGCTTCTCCCGTAGTGTCTCAAGAACAAGTATCAAGTGCTCTTCATGCTCTTCTTCACTCTTTGAGTAAATCAAGATGTCATCTATGAACACAATCACGAATCGGTCCAAGTATTTATGAAATACTCGGTTCATCAAGTCCATGAATGCCGCCGGGGCGTTTGTTAGCCCAAACGACATAACAAGGAATTCAAAATGCCCATACCTTGTGCGGAAAGCACTCTTTGGTATGTCATCTTCCTTAATCTTCAATTGATGGTACCCCGACCTCAAGTCAATCTTCGAAAACACGGTTGCCCCTCGTAGTTGGTCAAACAAGTCATCAATTCTAGGCAAAGGATACCTATTCTTGATTGTGACCTTGTTCAGTTGACGATAGTCAATACACATTCGAAGTGTCCCATCTTTCTTTTTCACAAAAAGAACTGGTGCTCCCCACGGGGAGTGGCTTGGTCTAATGAAACCGTTATCCAAAAGCTCTTGCAATTGGGTTTTCAACTCGTTAAGTTCAGCGGGTGCCATACGGTATGGCGGTATGGAGATTGGTTTGGTACCAGGCTCGACCTCGATCACAAATTCAATCTCCCTGTCAGGTGGCAGCCCCGGTAGGTCTTTAGGGAAGACATCCGGATACTTACAAACCACCCTCACATCATCGACGTTCGTTTCCTCTTTGGTTTTGTCAACCACGTATGCTAGATATGCGTGACATCCCTTTCTCATCATACTTATCGCTCTCACGGCGGATATGATACAGCTATTTGATCTCCCTCGATCGCCCTCGAAGCGTAGGGTCTCCCCATCATTGCCTTCGAGTTCAAGAACCTTCGTGTAGCAATCTACCCTAGCATGGTTCCTTTCTAGCCAATCCATCCCTAGGATTGCATCGAATTCAATCATGCTCAGCGGTACGAAGTCACACGTCAAGGTTTGACCATTAACCTCCACCCCACAAGATGGATAATAACAAGTTCTTTCCACGTCATCTCCTAGTGGTGTTGATACCACTAAGGTTTGCATCAATGGTGCGGATTGCACCCCCAACCTCTTGGCGAACGCTTCATTCACAAATGAACGTTGCGCCCCGGTATCGATAAGGATTCGCGCATCCTTCCCATTAATCTTTAGCGTCCCTACATTCATGAACCATGTAAGACATTTTTCCTACCCTCCCTACTCATTTATAGAAGGTTACAATGTTCACACGCATGTTAGGGATCAAGAAAAGGTCTTAACGTTGCAATACGGCGCGAAAAAGTCGACTTTGGGCTGCCTAGGAGGTACGCACGGCGTGCCTAGGAGGTACGCACGGCGTGCGTGTCTTATAACCTCAAAACGGAGCTACTGCCACCAACGCACGGACCAACGCACGGACAACGCACGTCCGTGCGTATAGCAATTTCTTCCCGGTTGCTACTGCCACCAACGCACGGACCAACGCACGGACAACGCACGGCCGTGCGTATAGCAATTTCTTCCCGGGTTGCTACTGCCACCAACGCACGGACCAACGCACGGACAACGCACGGCCGTGCGTATGGTCCAGCCTGGTGTGCGTTGGCGGAAATCAGCCGTCTTTCGCCCGATTTCGCTCCGTTTTACCCCAAAGCTTCGTGCAATGATCCCAACGACTAGCAACCTCAATTTATGGACTAATCAAGGGTAAAACATAAGTATACAAAAGGTAATACCTGCAACGGAATCCGGGTTAGCTTGAGCATCCGCCTCCGTCATTGCGTAGACCCTAGCCTGGGTCCTTCCTTGGTTCACGGATGGCGCGTTACTCGTGCTTGCTCCCCCATGTCCCCGGCTTGCTTGAGAAGCCCCGGGTTGATTCCGTGTACCCGTCGGGCCATTACTTGGTCCCGATGTCCTTGCCCCGCCCAGTTGTGGGCAAAGTGCCTTCAAATGCCCGGCATCCCCACATTGAAAGCATCTAGGGGGGTCGCGACATTTACCGGAGTGGTTCTTCTTGCAATTGTTGCAACGAGTCACCACCGAGGTTTGTGACCTCGAGCCTTGCCCACTCGGGCCTTGGTTCCCCCTAGACGGTGGTGGTGGTGCCCGGAAAGATCCTCCTCCATGGTTCCCCTTTTTGTTGGAACCTTGGGAGCCATGACTCTCCCATTTTCTCTTTTTCGCCTCCTCGGCGTCTCTCTTCTTCCGTTCCTCCCACTGTTTCTCCCCTTTCAACGCTTGGTCAACCACTTGGGCGAAAGTCATATTAGGCAATTGCGTTGCCCTATCACGTATCTCCAAGTCAAGAGCGTCCCAAAAGTGGTTTACCATGCGGTTCTCGTCACAAGCATACTCCGGTATGTAGTCGGCGAGATCCCGGAACTTGTACTCCAGCTCCTTCACTGACATGTTACCCCCTTGGGTTAGGAGGGTGTATTCCCTCACCTTCTTATTCACCTCGAAATCAGAATAGTATTGGGCAAAGAACTCCCGTTGGAAGTCCTCCCAAACGACGGTCTCACCGTACTTGTTCTTGGTTCCATCCCACCACTTGGATGCCATCCCCTCGAGCAATCTTACCGAAATTCTCAGTTTGAGATTCGGCGCGATTTGCATGTCAAGGGCTGCTTCATTTAGCCTCTTGATCCATTGTGCTGCCACTGAAATGTCCCCTGCTCCATCAAAGGGTTTGCACCCCAAATCTCTTGCTTCTTTGATGTATTTGGAGATCCTTATGGTTGGACCTCCATCATTTTGGCCTCCACGTGGTTCCACATGGACTCTAGATGCACCATGACTTCCTCCTCGCGAAGCCATGCCCGAAGGTTGCCCAGCCCGGCGCCTTCGGCGTTCCCTCCTCTCTTCACGCTCACGGTGATATTGTTGGAGTAATGCCTCAATCCGCGCTAAGTAGCCGTTGTCCTCCTCATCACTTGCATCATCGTCATCCCCTTCATAAGGGGTTTCAACCGGCTCTGTTTCCGGCCGATAGGTCGAGTCCTCATAGGACCAATAGCTCTCGCTTTCGGTGCTCACATGACCGTCGCTCACGGTCTGTGATCGGCCTCCACGGCCAGCTCCTCCAGATGCTCTAGAGGTCCTTCGACTGCCCAGTCCAGTCTCCACTGGTACACGGCCAGTCGGGTTTCTCCTAGTAATCCTGCCACCACGGTCCATTTCTGAAAGAAAATTTGGAAAGAGTCGTTAAACTCGTATCAAATGTCAATTGACGGATAGGTACTCAAGACACTACTTGGCTCAAATTGCTGCCATACCAATTGCTAAGGGTACCATCTTAACAATTAGAGACCTTGCAACTTAAGTACCAAAAGTTCTTCAAGTACAAAACGTTTATGCTCATGGTTTTAAAAAATCATTTTGAAAAGAGAATTTCGAGACTTCATTATGAAGTTTATGGACTAAGGCTCTGCTACCAACTTAATTGTCACGCCCCGGACCTATCCGGACACGTCAACAACCCGCCGTACAATATGAATAGTCAACCGCAGTCCAACACATTCATATTATACAAGGCGTCTTGAATATCATTCACACATATACATCCATAAACAAACATAATAAGTAATTCATAACGCAGCGGAAAACATTATTTAAAACAAAAGAGCCACACAGGGCTATTCATGAGCACGCAGGCTCTATAGTAAAATATCCATGAGCAAATTTAATAATGTTTCAAATAGAACGGAGGAAGCACGAACCAAGTCTTCTCTCCGAGGAATCGCCCGATCAACGAGCACAGGATGCAAGCTCTAGCCTCAACCTGAAATGGTGGTGGGACGCCCCCGAAGGGGTCAGTACTCTATACGGCTATAAAGTACTGGTGTGGCAGGCATCTAATAGATATACAACAAGTATTTCAAACACAAGACCCTCAAATAGGGTGATAGTACATTATGATTGTAACCCTGAGTTACCCCGTTTAAAAATTATACTTACTTTATATAAAAGTCAAGTAGTCGGCCCGTGGGCCCATGTTCATTTGGAAATCACCATTCCCAACCCCGTGACTATAAGCCACGACAACTCCTAGAGTCCAACCCTAGTACATGACATTGTATTCTAGAGCTCGGCTCTACCACATCACCATACAATTCATATACCTCGGGTCAATTTCCTTACCTTGCGTTCTAGAGCTCGGCTCTATCACATCACCACGCAAGTCCTAGAGCTCGGCTCTAGCTATACAATACATAGACTCCAAGTCTACACCTTACATGCATTCTAGAGCTCGGCTCTATCACATCACCATGCATTAAGGTCCAATTCTCAAGCAACCCTATGCCTAGAATTGACATATCATCAAACTACCATGGGTCATTTTTAAAGACTTCCCATAACTTAGCCTTAGTTCCATACTAGGTTATTATATACACTTGAACTATATTCAAGTATCTTTCATACAATCCAATCCCTAGGATCAATTTAATTCACAAGTTCCAATAATCACTAACTAGTATTCCAATACTATTAAGATTATTGTTATCATACCATTGTCCTCATTATTTGTAGTTCTCTACATATTTATAATTATGTAGCAGCAACTTAAGCATTCAATTTCAATACACAAATATTCATTTATGTATCCACATAATTCATACATGAGTAAAATACCCATTTTCACAAAATGGTTCTTTTATACTCATTTAATCTCATATTATTCATACCTTCTCAAATCATTTCAAATTTCATTCTTTGGAAACTATATCAATATTTCATCAATATATAATCATCATAATCCATGATAAATCATGATTTAAGCATTTAGGTAATCTCATGCTTAACCTACAAGTTGTAAGCAATTAGATGTCAATCCTCACCTCAATTGAGCTTTAAACTTTCCCTTCTTGGTCCAATGGTCAAAGCTTCGGTCAAGGTGGATTTGGAACTGATTCCTTGCTCAAATATGAGTGTTAAACAGCCTCTTCAAGGTGCTAGCTCAACCCCTAAACGTTGGTACGAAAACAGCCCCTAGAATGGGTGTTTTCCGGCTAACTCGTTTCCTAGTTTTCCAAGATTTGTTCTAGGTTAGTATCTAACCTTTACATCAATAAAATAACTTAATAGGGACATATTATAAACTTGGAGTAGTGTATAATAGTTCCACCAATCGTTCATATCATTTGGAAAATGAATGGAAAGGTTTTGGGATTAACAACTCACTTAGAAGAGTAAATCCGTTCCTGTGAGGTCGCGTTCTGTTCGGACGATTTGGAAGCCTTCCTCTACTCCGATTGATGCAAACCAGACCTTCACGGATTCCTCGTCTTGAGAGCTTTCTTTTGGTATCTCACACGCCTTAATTGGATTGGTAAAACTCGAGATATCGACCAAACAGTTTCAGCACTCTCACAGCTCGAGTTCACAGACCTCTGCTCGTTCCAGATCGATTTTTGGATGATTTCTCTCTCCTATCGAACTGTGGACACTCAAATATGAAAATAGACTTCAAAAGCTATCCAAAGACACCTTATACACCCCATTTGGACGAGTACAACTCTCAAAATGAAGGGAGACAAAACAGCACACCTGTTTGTGCGAAAACAGTGGTGGTGGCCCCAAAATTTGATTCCAATTGTGTCATGGGCAGTGCTTCTCCATGCGGTGCGGCCAAGGTGAGTCTTCTCACATATTTTCCTTGTCTTGCAGGTACTAATATCATGTGGAGTGGTTCCCCATTGATCCCAATTAATTTGGGATCCAAAATATCTATCAATACACCCAAAAATGGAAGAATGGGTCCTATTGTTTTATCTTTTGTCAAAGATGTCTTTTTGTACTCATCCTAATTTATTTAGAACAAGTCAACTTCCTAAATCACATTATTGACCTCCAATATGTGTAGGCTCATCCCAATAATTTACTTGATGAATATTACGAAAGAATACGGGTTTGAACAATACAAATATTCAATCATGTGCTACGTAAAATATTAATCGTTTTTCCATTGTTTTCAAATCGGAAATTCAATACATCACTTTGAATTTAAGAATGAAATTTTCAAAGACGTTCGGGTGCGGTGTCACATGTCTTGTGGGGATTTCTGGATGAAATCTCATGGAGCAACACATATGACTTTTGTGGAGCGGAATGGGACCCAATTTTTGGCAGATGGCCGGGTCTTCTACTTTAACGGCTGGAACTCTTACTGGTTGATGGACCACGCTGTGGATCAGGATAGGAGATCAAGAGTTAGCACAATGCTTCAAGCTGGTGCTAAGATGGGACTCACTGTATGCAGAACTTGGGCCTTCAGTGATGGTGCATATAATGCTCTTCAGATTCCCCCCGAGAAATTCGATGAAAGGGTATTTAGGGTACGGTAATTCGCTATAAGTATTTTTTTTCCTGTTAGTTAGAAGTTAGAACAATAGTATTTGATTTGAATATTTGATAACTGTAATTCTTTTTATGTTTCTTTTTAAAAGGAATTAATTATGATGGTATCTAGCACACAGACAGTCGGATTTGGTGAATAGCCGAATATGATTTGTACATTTTAGAAATATTTTGCTCACTAGTATTTACAATCTTGTGCACTCCTTTTCCAAAACCTGCCTAAACCGACCTGAAACAATTTCTTGAGATATAATAATACTAAACTGAGAAGTCCAATACCGTCATATCATGTATGATACACAATTTAGAGATCCTTAAGATTGGGTTTTGGAGGGTTAAGTGTATAGTTTGATGCATGTTTGAGGATCTATAAAAAGGGAAATACACATTACAAAATTTCAATTAACCTTTATTCTGTTTTCAGTAAATTCTATTTATCAGGAAAATCCCCCAAAGCACTTCATCCAAACATGTCATTAGGAGTTCTACATGTCTGAACAAATTATATTCTAATTTTTTTTCCACTGCTTGAAGTGTATTTGAACTTTCAGCTTTACTTCATAGATGCGTAATGTGCAGGCCTTGGACCGTGTAATCAGGGGCGGATCTGGCTATAGGCCAGGCAGGGCCTAGGCCCAACCTCAAAAAAAATAAAATTACTAGTATATATAAGTATTATATTATATATATTGTTGTTAAGTAATGATATAATTACAAAAGAAGTCAATATATATAAATCGTGCCAAGTCAAACTATTTTTTTGCAATATACGTTATTTAATTAAGGATGTTTTTACTTGGACTGTAATTTGTCCCAGCCCAGATCAGACCAGACCAAACCATATCAGACAAGAGCAGACGAGACTTGGATAGTTATAAAAATACAAAGAAACCAGACCAGGCCAGTTCAGACCATACCAGACCAGGCTAGCAAATTACAATCCAAGTAAAAACATCCTAGATTTTGGCCCCACCTGAATGGCAACGCTAGATCCGCCCCTGCATGTAATAGCTGAAGCCAGGAAAAATGGGATTAGGCTGATACTCGCTTTGGTAAATAATCTCAAAGCATACGGTGGGAAGACTCAGTATGTTAAATGGGCATGGGAAGAAGGTCTTGCTTTAAGCTCTTCCAACGATTCATTCTTTTACGATCCAATCATCCGTGGTTACTTCAAGAACTATGTCAAGGTAAACCCCTTTTCAATAACTCAGCCTCTCTTTGTGGTATATATACCATCATTTGCAATGGAGCAAAAGATTCATTATTTTTTGGCTTGAGAATATGATGAAATAAAGCAAAATGACTCACTAAACTTTCTGCGCTTCTTTGTTATGAATCAACAGCCAGTTCATGCAATTTTGGACGCGATTTTCAATATGGGTTGTCCGGAAACAGTCTCTCTGTGCTTTAGTACATGAGTAAGACTGTGTACATCCGACCCCCCTACTCCACCGTAGGTGAGAGCCTTTGCGGCACTGTGGTAAATGAAAATGATGAAAATGATGATGATGAGTTTCTGGTCGCCAAGCACTTTTTAGAACGCTATTCAGTAGAATTCATATATGCAGATTGTTCAAACTACACTAAAAAATCAAATCCAACCATTCGCTGGATTCGCTGGTCTAACCCAAAACCTTAAAAACCCATTTGGTCTTTCTTTAGCGATAAAGAAATATGTGCACTCTTAAAAGATCACTGTTGTATAATGCCATTGTTGTGCATAGATCAATGTTTTCAATCTTCTCTCTGCAGACAATGCTTACTAGGAAAAACACAGTTACTGGAATTAAATACAGGGATGATCCAACCATCTTTGCGTGGGAATTAATTAATGAACCTAGGTGCATGACTGATCCGTCTGGTGACACCTTTTTTTTTTCCTCCGGAAGGTCAACCACCAAAATCAGTGGGGTAAATGCCGGAGTACATTTACCGAAATTTTATTTGAAAATAATCAAAACCAACACGAGAGGAGGACCAAACCAATACCTCTCAAAAACAAAACAGAAACAATTAAAAAATAGCACTGGGGGGCTAGGCCTGACCCATTGCCATACACAATCAACAATATCTAAAAGAAGAAATACAAAAGAGATCTGAGACACCCTTCAAGTAAGTTAGTTTGATCTCTTTATTACAAGTACATTAAATGTACAACGAATAATACATTATGTTTTTTCCTATAATAATGCTAAATATAACTACAACAACATCCACAACATCCAAGCCTTAGTCCCAAACGATATTGAGGTCGGCTAACATGAATCGATACATGATATCACCAAAAGGAAAAGAAAGAAAAAAAAAAGAAAACAGATAAGCTATTATAAAAAAGATAAGATAAAAGAGATGAATATACGTATAAAAGATAAAATAAAAAGGATAAAGTAATATTTATATATAAGGATAAAAATATATAAAAAAAGAAAGAAAAAGGGGGCGGGGGCGGGGCGGGGGAAGATGATACAAGATAACTCCTCCACAATAATGCTAAATATAACTGATGGACAAAAAATATAACTACATTGTCACTGCAATAATCACTGCTAAAACATCACCATGATTACTAAAATGTAAAATTGAACATTACCATCGTCAAATAGTCATTGTGATAATATCACTGTGGCCACTGCGTATTAAATGTCACATTTGTGCTGATGAGTTTTTATATGTTATTGTATTTCCTTTTTTGTGTGATTACAATGTTACATTTAATTTATGAGCTAGAGATGTATGGTCCAAAAGTTGGCCTTGAAGAAATTTATGACTGGATTGAAGAAATGTCAACTTTTGTGAAATAGGAATCATCTGCTAACAGTTGGCTTTGAAGGATTTTATGGTCCAAAAGATTCCAAAAGATTGAATGTTAATCCTGAATCCTGGGCTTTTGATCTTGGCTCTGATTTTATTCGGAACTCAAATCTGTCAACCATAGATTTTGCGTCCGTTCATGTATATCCAGATCACTGGTGAGCTTATTCTTCTATAGTAAAGAAGCTAGTAATTGTAGTCTAAGAGTCTTTATATATTGTTTTATAGGGAAATTTCCCGAAACAGCCGTAAAAAATATAAAATTCCAAAATAGGACTTCCTTTTTTTAATCCCTGAACAGGAGTTAATTGAAAGTATTTCCCATGTATTACAATAATCACTCCTATTTAGTAAAAAACATAGTACTTCTATTTCAGAATTTTACATTCTTTTTACTCGTATATAGGGCAATTTATGTCATTTTATACTCCGTATATTCATAATACATAAGTGAGGAATGCGATAGGAAAAAATCTATATAATTTTTTATTGTGTTTTATTTTATTTTATCTTATCGTGTATAGGCAGTTTCCTTGCATTGGTGGACTATACTTATTCTATTTGTTTCTGATGAGGTCTCTCCACAGGAGCTTATTTAAACCACTCCAATCTCTTTGAATTAATTATTCTGAAAATTATATCACACTAAAACTTGAGGTTAATCGCTGAAAATTATATCATACTAAAACTTGAGGTTATATCATAGCATGTACCAAAAAGTTAAGAAATATAATTTCCCGATTAAGTAACGGGAAAAAATTAGGGGCTAAATAGGCTCTTACTCCTCTTAGCGAGAGACCTATTTGGCGTTGATAACAAATAGAATAAGGCAGCGTTCACTTGCACTTGTGCTTGTGAGAAGTTATTTATTTATTATAGTGATTTTAGAGCAAGTGATTACTAAAAGTTGATAGTGTTTAAAAGTTGGTAGTGTTAAACATAAAAATGATTTTAAAAAAGTTAGAAGTTGGAAGTTGGGTAACAAAGACTTATTTGATTATAAGAAAAGTGAAAAACTGTTTTAAGCACTCTTCCCTTAATGAGACATTTTAGCTTTAAAGCACTTAAAGAGGTAAAGTTAACCTGAAACAACAACTTAAGAGCACTATTTTTGAGTTTTCTGAATCCATAAACACAAATGTTTTTTGAAACATTATTGCAAGTGTTCCTTAAGTCCAATTGTAAGGTATTAATTTCTTCCGTCTCCGACTCAGGTCTCCAACCTTCTACACTAAACTCACACACACCACTCTAGACTAGGCCACTCCATCTCCCATGTTTACTCACTCTTCTTCACTCCACTAAGGAACTCTCACACAAAGGGAAAGGAAGAAGGAAGACACTGCACAAGGAGTATTCTTCTCGCAGGCTTATCTCACAAAGAAGGAAAGGAGCTGACTTTATAATAGGCAGTCAGCCTATTGAGAAGTCACGGGCATAACAACAGGACACTCACGGGTGTAGCCAAGACAACAACAGCTCACGGGTATAAGCAAGGCAAAAATAAGGAGCAGCGGACAGAGGTGGGGTATACTCCAAATAAGTCAACATGCCACCAATGAGTGATTTCAACTCAGGGAATCAAAGTGGGAGTAAACATGGGGTGCAAGCCTAAATAATAAAGTGGCAGGGAGGCCTTGGTAGGACCAATACCTCCAACATTCTCCACCTTATTGGTCCTAAGTGGTGTAGAGTAGCAAAACAGGTTGTGAGGAGACTCATCATCGCCGGGTCACCCGGAATATCAACAGACACAACGGGCAAACACTTCATTAGGCAACCCACAGTTATCCACAGTCAAAGTTTAACACGCGTTTACAGGACAAGTGCTTCTCAGCAGAAAGACACTTGGTACCCATATCTGCGGGGTTAAACTCAGACGGGATCTTGCACAGCTTGACTCCACCTGCATCAACAATATCACGTATGAAATGGAACCTAACATCAATATGCTTAGTTCTATCATGAAATACAGGATTTTTGCAAAGTTGGATAGCCGATTGGCTATCCGAGAAAATGGTAACTCCCTTTTTGAGAAACCCAATTTCGGAGACAAGGCGTTTGAGCCAGATGGCTTCCTTAAACGCTTCTGTGGCTGCAACATACTCGGACTCAGTGGTAGAAAGGGCCACAATAGGCTGTAGTTGAGACTTCCAACTAATGCAAGAGCCACACAAAGTAAAAACATAAGAAGTGGCCGACTTCCTGTTATCTCTATCATTTGCATAGTTAGAATCAACATAACCAATCAATTCAATACCACTAGCACATTTAGAGAAAATTAATCCATGCTTCACAGTAGAAATCAGATATCTAAGCAACCACTTAAGAGCATTCCAATGGGGCAAACCAGGGTTGGACATATATCTACTCAAGCAACTAACCGCATATGCAATATCAGGTCTAGTGCTAACCATAAGATACATCACCGACCCTATTGCGCTGGAATAGGGCACAGATTTCATTTTCTCAATTTCAGGAGCAGTCTTGGGAGACTGGTCCTTACTTAACACAAAGTGAGATGCCATAGGGACATTAACAGGAGAAGCAGATAACATATTGAATTTACTCAAAACTTTTTCTATGTAAGAAATCTGATTCAAAGTAAGAGTACGCTTACTCCTATCCCTAACAATGTTTATGCCTAGGATCCTCTTGGCATCACCTAGGTCTTTCATGGCAAAATTCGCACAAAGACATTTCTGCACATCTTTAATAGCATTCAGAGAAGGACTAATTATCAGCATGTCATCCACATAGAGTAACAAAAATACAGGCACAGAAGAAGTATTTTTGAAATACAGGCAATGATCACAAACAGATTTCTGGAACTTCAAAGATATCATGCATTTATCAAATTTGATGTTCCACTGCCTAGGGGATTGCTTCAGGCCATACAAAGCCTTCCTAAGCAAACAGACATGCTCACTTCTCTTGGGATCCACAAAGCCCTCAGGCTGGGTCATATAAATTGTTTTATCCAATTCACCATGCAAAAATGCAGTAGTTACATCCATCTGTTTCATTTCCCAGTCATGGTGAGCAACTAAAGCAAGCATCATACGAATAGTGGTGAATTTAACAACAGGAGCAAAGATTTCTGCATAATCTACCCCCTCTTTTTGAGTAAACCCCTTCGCAACCAACCTAGCCTTAAACCTAACATCACTAGGTTCTTCCTTAACCTTAAACAACCACTTACACTCAACTACCGAACAGTTGGGAGGTCTAGGTACAAGGGTCCAAGTCTGGTTCACTCTCAAAGAGTCCATCTCACTTTTCATGGCACTAATCCATTTCTGAGACTCTTTGGAACCTAAGGCTTCACGGTAGGTCTTGGGTTCATTCAGTTCTAGGGATTCAAACACAGAAAATGCAAACATAGAAGTATCATGCACAATGAAAGCATAATCAGGCATACTATCAGCAGTTCTCCTGATAGCCCTTCTACTCCTATCTCTAGCAAGTTGATAATCATGCAAATTATCACTACTAGGCTCCACATGCAACTCATGCAAATTATTGTTATCATGAAAATCAGATTCAGCACCCATATCATGCAAATCATGCTCAGTATCATGCAAATGCTCCACCTCACTCGAGGTGGTGGGACTATCATGCTCAGAGGAATCAGAATCATGCATAACAATATCATCAGTAATAACAGGATCAACAGTCAAAGGACTAGCAGCAACAGGGACAGACTCCACCTCACTAGGAGTACTATCAGACCTAGACTCAGGATTAGAAGCAGACTCGGTCAAGCAAGGAAAATCAGTTTCATTAAACACCACATTTCTGCTAAGGACCACTTTAAAGCCTACCTGGTTCCTATCCCATAACCTGTAACCCTTTACCCCCTCTGGATAACCTAGGAAGACACATTTCTTAGACCTAGGATCCAACTTGTCACCCTGTTGGTGTGCATACGCTGCACAACCAAACACCCGAAGGTTAGACAGATCAAGAGGCTTACCGGTAAAGACGGTTTCAGGACACTTACCACCAAGAGGGACAGACGGGGACCTATTAACCAAATAGGCAGCAGTAGTGACTGCTTC